TCAGTCGATCGCCGCGGGTTTTGGCCAGCTGGCTTGTGAGTTCTCCTCTCAGGCTTGCTCTCGAAAGTCAACGTATTATCGCTAACAATAAAGTTTGCCTTTACAATTCCGGGATTTTGGGACCACGCTCTTGTTGCTCATCACACCTGCAAAATCGTCTCCCGCATCCTGTTGGCTTGCAAATTCTCTGTGCTTACAGCCTAACGCCTCTAACATGTAGACACCACTTTAGTCGTGGAGAAGTCCAGATTTGCATTCCGGTTAAGGGCACAATGAAGTAAAGAGCAGAGGAGAGGCCGGCTCTGTAAACTAAACAGCGTCCTAGTATTCCAGAAGGACAAATTCTATATAATGTTTCTGCGGACTTTCCAAAATGTTCAGCAAGGGATTAAGTTTCTGTTTTTACTCGACGATGTAGGTAGCTATTTGCATAAATAAAGGCAGACACTTGAATGTACCCCTGTCGTTAGTTTTGCCACATGGAATGACTTTTTGTGGCTTATTTGTGGTTATTCAATGCCCCAATCCCGAACAGAACACCTGAGCATCGAACCCGACTCGGTTGATAGTACAGCAACGCTCTCACCCCTGCACACTAACAGGCTTGCGTCATGTTGACTGTGGTCGGGAATATTCCGTGAGATGTGAGCACTGAGGACTGACGATCTATCCTGTTTGCAGGTCAGAAAGGAACTCTGCACAGTCAACTCCAAGACAAGATAGGGATACTGCCTCCTGTCCTGCAATTAGAACAGACGGGTACACGTCACTATCGTGTGACATAACAACGCCTTTGTAGGCGTCGCAAGCCGTGTGAACTGCGGCAATTAAGTTTATACCGAGTGAATTCGGAATAAGTACCGAGTCATATTACCAAACATTCTGATAGGTACTGGGCGAAAGAGCCGAGAACTCTATTTGAACTCTACAAATTGGCGAGGGGGTGCTGTGACCGTAGGGGGTATACAAATTCGAGGTATTAATAGCTATATGGAGAGGAAAGGAAGATGTTCCCACTTAAGGCTGATTATGCTATTTGATCAAATGAAATGAAAGCTTGGTAGTCTGGACTTCACCACTTGCCAAAAAGGTACCTGTTTGGAAGGCAGACAGACCGCTGAAAAAAACTCCATTCCCATGTTTCCTTGTATAAAAATAAGGAAAAAGTGCATTTTGCGAACAGCGTTCGATTTTTATAATCACTTGAGGATAGGATGGGGCGATGCGGGCATTAACCAACGGGTTGTCGGTCGGAGCTGAATTTACAGTCGGTCACGAATGGTGCTTAGGTTAGGCACAGTTTCGACGGCCTAGCGGTGCAGCTCTGGGTGGGGGTGATGATAACTCAACAGCTGCCCCTTTCGCTACCCGAGGCATCTTGGCTTTGTGCAACCGCCTAAAGGACGGCCAAATGAATGGGAGCATAAAGTGTGGTATACAACCCCCTAGTGCGTACCCAACCCGGGGCAAATGGCTGAACGGGACATCAATGACCACCTTGCGGTGGGCAATTGTTTTGACGGCGAAGATGCCTTAGGATTTCATAGTACCGACTGAACGACGGGCTCGCTAGCCGAGTTTTTACGAAAGAAAGATTTAACTGATAGAAGAGCGCTGGCCGATCGCTCCACGGAAATCACTTATTCCATTACGGAGTACTTTATTCACCTGACGTTTCTGATTCATGCTGAATTCTATTACCAAAAGGCAGCAGATGCAAGGGAAGTGCAGTTTTGGTAGGATACAGACGAAAAACAACTCAAAACCTCACAGGGTGTCCATAACTGGAGTGATAATACCTAAGACGGCAGCCATCGCGTCTTTAATAGTCGCTACTCAATCACCGGTGTTGGTAATTACTCGATAAATTGAGCATTCGGTTAGTCCCTTAATGAGTTTTTACCCGTGCAAGCAAGTATTCGCCCAGACAAAGGCCTAGGACTGCACACTGAGGTGGGAGGCAGTCAGCTCTATTAACGGACAAAAGTCTAATGAACCATACCTCAAGTAGTGTGCGTCGCACGCGGTTGTCCGCTCTCAGTCTGGCTTGAGTTTTTAAACACCATCGAGCTCCCCAAAACTAGTTCGTTTCACACCTTCCTTCAGCCTGGTCAGATGTGGTTATGTAACCCCATCTGAGGTAAATAAATCCCAGCCACCTGTAATACGGGACCGGTTGTAATAGGAATTTTTACAGGTGCGGCCGCGGAATGCACAGGCAACGAGGTCAAGCAGTTGTATCCAAAGGAAAAGCTATTGGGAGTGCGTGGTTGTACTTTCAATGGTTGAGAAATAGTTGCCCCAACCCTTACCCTAACCCCAACAGCATTGTGCCCATCAGGCGGGCTATATAACAATTCCTACTTATTTCTCTATAAAAGTGCCAGATGCTTAGTATATGACTTGACTAGCGTCGAAAACTCCCGTTGCATACAGCAACCGGGTAACAGTCAATATTTTTCTGGCGTGGACTGTCTGTTCAAAACTCAAACCCGTTCCTTGGGCAGATCCATTTCGGCTGATCAGATTCAAGGAAAAGGCCCAGGGTGTGAGGTTAAAGTGTTTTATCGATAATAAGACGACACATCAAAGTATGTGGGTTAGGTAAGTAGGTCCACGACGGCTTCAGGGTTTTTCACAGAACCGTCTGTCTATCGTCATCCCAGATCTCGTTGAATTCCTGCAGGTACGAGCCGGCAGAGAACACGGCGATTGCTTTATAGGGCCGATTAACGTCTTTCAAATATTTCTGAAAGGAGAATGGGGGGGGAGCAGTAGAAAAGCTTTTAATAAAACTGCTTGAATGTAATCAACCACGAAAAAAACAATTAGTAAGATGAGAAATGCCCTCTAATTCCTAATCAAATTTCAAGTCAGTTTTCCCTCGTGTGTTCACCGAAATTTAAACCATCCTCTCGTCGTTACCGACTGCAGACTGTTTGTGGGCCTGGTGGTAAGACTGTGACTTAGTTTGGTCTATTTTTTTCAAGAAATAGTTTACTTTAGTTCTTGCGGCAAGTGAAGGGTTGTAATTAGAAAGCTGACTCATGAAAAATATGCATCTGTTCATCTTGCGTCGAGGTAAATTCGACGTAGAATTCATTGTTAACCAAGAAATTACCAGGTGTCTTTGATCCGATATCTAAAGGGTTATAAACGACGTTGTATTGGTACTAATAAAAACCCGATAAAAATATCAGGCGCGTAATGTCTGATAGAATTCTGTTGTTTATTTTGGAAGGTATCTGAAAGGAAATGGGATTAATCTGTGATAATTTTTGAAAACGTTTTCCCAGCATCTGGCTTATAAACTGCATGACTGGTAGTTAAATGCTGCAGACCCATGTTCTTCGAATACGAAGTGAAAATGTTATTAATTAGCTGACGAGTACGCCCGCCAACACAGCTAAATCTCAAAACGACAGTCTAGCCAGAAGGTTTGATAAACTCGGCAATCATGAACATGTAGTCTAGCACCTTATTTGGCGCAAACTTCCGTTTCTATCATGCGGGGCCAGTGTTGTGTCCACTAACGCTACTACTATTACTACCACTCTCGTTCTGAGAAGGATGAAACTCACTACTGACGTGCTTACTAAATCCTAAAATACATTTTTTCGATGTTGTTAGCATTTAAACGCCATGCTCATGCCAATAAAATTATGAGACCTCTCAATGTCCCGTAAAGCCATTCTTTATTCAGCCTCCATAACGGCTGTTTTTACGCACTCCTAATTATATTATTCACACTTACTAAAACAGAAAAACTCTTACATTTGTTTCATCACAAAATTACGCAATTCTCTCCGTTCTTGGAGAAGAATACACCTTAAGTTTCATTACTGTCAAAAATTCCAGCTTGTCATGAAAAAATAACAAGGAGAACTTAACTGTTGCTGATAAGGAAGTCGCTATCCGCAGGCTTTAATTACCGCGCATGAGAGTGTTTCATTCTAAAGGTCTAAATGAGGGTATAACTACAAAAGTGTTCTGTAAGTAGTACAACGCTCGCTTAAAGAGCACTAAAAGTTGGCTGCTTCCTGATCAACGTTTTTCTGCATAAGGCGTTTCTACACACAGACGCCCCTTGAGCAAGTAACTTAGCAGAAAGCCGCTAATGTCTGTCTGGAAAACCATTTAAATTTGATGAAAGTAAATCATCTTACTATAGCTTGGTCCCAGGTGTTTGCTTTCTCATTTTCTGATGCACCTTGGCCGATGTAACCGTAGAGGACTTCGAAGGTCTCCACGAAGGTCACGTCGTCGTTGTTGATGCCAGAACGATAGACCTTACCGGTGTAGACCTTGTTCATTACCAACTTCCTGGACTCGTCTGAGAGCCTAAAAAGACATTAAGCTCCTTTGTACATTTCCAGTATGTGTACACATGGGCAAAAATAATTTACGGCAGCCAAACAGTCATGCCGGTGTGTATGCAGAAGTTCAGACGACCGATCGTTGCCTTGTAAACTCACCTATAGAGTGTTTTTTGAAAGTTCCTCCTCTGTTCCTTATCCGGTGAAGGAGGCACAGCAGCATTTCCCAGTTTTTTGGAGAATTCATTCTGGGATGAGAAAAAAAAACAGACTGGCTAATAAAGTTAATTTTAATGAATAGTGCCCGTGAAGTAAAAATCTTTAGGGACTAGCGACGCCATCAGCAAGTGTGAAAGATGTCCCTGAGGGATTAGATGCACAACAGACTCTTGACAGGGTCTGCGTTTTTCAAAGTTAGGACATTTCGTTTGGCAAATTAAGAGACATAGGGACCGTCGGAAAAACAGAAGAGGTTTGCTGCAACACAGAACTAATCTGTCGATCTTTTGAGTTTGCTTCAAATGAGGTACTACGTGAGCATCGATCAGTCACGATTGTAGGACATAGGTGAGCACATCCACGTCACGGTGGCTTATAAGGACTAGAGGCACGCATGAGATGGCATGCCGACCAACACATACCAACTAACCGACAGTTCGGCCGTCGTTTCCGACGATGTCCACCGTGAGCTCCGCTGAAAGGTGACGCAGACACGGTGATTTGCGCTTGAATTAGTCTATAACAAATGTGGACTTGCGCAGCATCTACCGCACTATCTCCTCCTCCTTCTCCTCCTCCTCCTCCACCTCCTCCTCCTCCACCTCCACCTAGATCCGGTGTCAAGACAGGGTACAAAAAACCGGAGGCGGGGGAGGGCGCGGATGACTGACGCGGCCGGACCCGTACCTAGGCGTGCCCCCACTCCTTCTGGTTCACAACCTACACTTGACCAGGATTTTTCATGAACAACAACAACACCCCAACAGGGGTGAGGAGGACGGGGATGATGACCGGACCGTCATGCCTACCACCTATATACCCAGTGGGAGCGCAAGCGCATCTACCGGCAGGGAGCCAGGTGTCGGGGACTGCCAGCGCATACCAGGCTGCGAGAGCTGTGATTTTCTGACACAGGCATAACACACGTTTTCAGACCTTCTTACCTAGTAACTAACCACAGTTCGGGCACATGTAGGAAAACTGTGATGGCTCATCCCCCAGTGCTTGGCCTTGAACTCCAGCCGGCAAACACCACCGGTCGACGGCCTGGTGTCTTATCGCCTGAGATGGAGATTATTCTGTCAGGGCAGATTCGCGTACACCTAGCCCTCCTTATTATATGGTTCAAGTCAGCATTTTGCTTTATCTCGGTAGCATACAGACGAGCAGTCACTGATCAAGAAGTGTTATTGATTAGTTTTCAGTTGCCATATGACCGCCTACGTGAGTTGTAGAGCCTCAGCGACCAGGCAGCGCATGAGTGCCTTTCCCGTCCCGTAATAAGGAAAAATCGGCCAATACCACCCCAACACGACGGCATAGTCATCGACTGGGGTTAGAACGCTGCTCGATGATCGATTAATTGGGGTTCAGTCCTTGGCTTTACCGTCATCCGAGACTGACTGTTATTAACTGATGGCAGAAAAGTAATAAGAAAAGGCCATTTCAGCGTCCGCCTTTTGTTTACAATACTTTTCGAATGTTTCCTTATTCTTGACGCTTAAGGCAGTCTAAGAGACCAGCTTGTTGGAGTTTCTAAGCAAAAACTCGATGCATGGCTGTCGCAGCATCAAAGACGACTGGCATGCAGACCGAGAAGGTGGTCGCATTAGAATGGACTCTTAATTATCGACGTTGTACATATTCAATGTCCTGCTTTCGTTTACAAGGATATCTGTTCAGTAAAGCAGGGTTGTTGAGGTCGGGTCAAGCCGTCAGTTGCATTTTTTGGTTCGAAATGAGTTGACCTGAGAACCAGTGAGTCTGTCTATAATCAAAGTGTCACACCCTGTAATGTTAAAAATATGACCAATAACTGGCTCAGCTAGAAGGGACTGACTGATAAGACAAAGCACAGGATAAAATACCCAATAATCTAGCAACGCTTTAGTTTATGTCTCAAAAGAATCACAGGCTTCAGGCATACCTGTGGCAGCAGGTCCTCTTCATCCAGAAACTCTGAAGTGCACTTGCATTTCCTGCTTTTCAGAGCCGTTTCGATGTATTTGCGTGCCTGAACCAGGAGAAGGTTTACAACGTGAACAAATTAACCGAAAAAATCCGATAAAATAGGCTTGGACAAAAAGAAAAGGTTAAATTGATAATAAATTTTTTGTTGGATGTTTGCGGTCAGAGCACCGTCTAGGCCCGTCTTGAGCGCATTAGGTGCCAAGAAGTGCGCCGTCACCGCACCAGTTTTAGTCAATTTGCAAAGAAGAGATATTTTCGTAGCGCCGAGTACGAGATACTATTATGACGCCGGATTATCTTTTTCCCGGTATTTTAGGGTAATGTGGATGCAGACGGGTTTCTCGATCAATCCTGGTTAGAACCCCAATCGAGAACTGAGGCAGCGGTCGCGAAGCGACAAACAGTCGGTAATGCAAAAGTGTAATTGACAAAGGAAAGTAAGCATTATGTTATTACCGACAAAGACAAGGGAGACTGGAATGGCCATTTCGGGCTTATTAGCCGTCGTCAGTCAGTTATACTCAACCCCGAAGTGTGGAACACTCGAGGCTCGAACTCGCGACCTGTTAGTTAGAAGTCCACGCCTCTAACCACTGGGCCACGAGCCTGTTGCACTGTCGGTTTTCGATCGAGACTATACAATGGTAGGGGGCGCTCACCGATCGTTCTTACGGAACTTACTCGTTCTATTGGTTGGGCTCGAAAGAGAGCCCATAAGGCACAACGGAACGAGTGAGTTCCGTAAGAACGATCGGTGAGCGCCCCCTACCAAAAAAAAGTAAAATCGGATATGACTTTTTGGCCATCATCGACGGGGCAGGCCGTAGACGCAGCTCTGGAAGTTCAGGCGCTTGATCCGCTTCGATTTGGTAACATTTTTCCGTCATTGGCTCAAGGTCGCACGGCGGTAGTGTCCATCCACCTGCCCCGAGGCCAAGAACTCCTCACTGGGTGTTAAGCTTGTAGCAGCAAATAAAACCAAATTAGCCATTCGCCAGTAATGCTGCCTAACTCTTTCCACCTCCATCCCGCTCTCGCCAGCTTGCTCTGATCGGAAAAGGACAAATATCCCCTGCTACCTGCTCGCGCGCCCGTGACGTGAAGTTGTAGAACTAGGGCGGGGGGAGGGGAGACGGGGCCTGGGGGCGGGAAATGAACGCTCAGCTGACAGGAAGGGGAGCAGATCCAGTGACGATTATAGTTAATTTTTATCAGCAGTCTGTTGTGTACATGACCTATCTGCTGGGATTTAGGTATAGATGGATACACGCATGATGTCCTCCCCCGTGGGAGTTTAGATATCACCCAGCTGGCACACCGCGTCCTCCTCGACGAATATCTGAATGAGACTGAACAGATGTGATGGGGCGAGGGGGGAGAGGAGTCACGCCGGCCATTTATTTCCGGTTTGATTATGTTATCATCGTTACAGACCGTTAAGTACTCCGTCCCACCCCCTGGGCTTCGCTTTGAGCAGCAGCTGGTGTAAGAATAACAAACAAGAAGGCTTCAAAGTACATTTGGGTGGAGGCCACAAGTGCGTTTTTGCTCCTTCGCAGGATGAAATAATGTGTGCTTTCTCTCTTCCTCTCTCTCCCTATCTCTCAGACTGAATGTCCCATATAAGAGGGAGGATTATACTCGAGCGAATGAAAAGCTGCGACTAGATTTGTTGCGACACAGATGTCCCCTGTACGGCAATGATGTACTCTATTAGCCAGACATCCCTAGATTGAGAACACTCTAGGTAAGAGGGTTACGAGGTTAAAAGTCACGAATAACATCACATTCGTCATCCCGGGGGACAGAAATTTGTATTCCATTTATTTGTGCAGCAGGACAAAAAAGTGCCTTACAGAAATTCTAGGTTTGGAGAGAAAACTGTGATAGGTTTGAGTCACCCTTTAAAACAAACCCTGCAAACTATTCATCCCGCAGCTAGTTGAGATCATTGACTGTCACTGCCGAGTTAATCTGATCCTGGAAACTTTGCAGTTATGTGAGTGGCTGCCGCAGAAGCAGAGGTCCCTAGATCGGCTAGTTTGAAGTCCACGCCTCTAACCACTGGGTCACGAGCCCGTCGCCCTGTCGGTTTCTCTTTCTTTGGCGGACAAGAATTAAATGGCTCAAACTGTTTCCATATTTATTCAGTTCATCTACTAACCAACAAGAGAAGGATCACCTCCTGATACCGTAAAGCAATAAAAGCTCGCTCTTGTATCTTGTTTTTAGTGAATAGAGAGGGGCGGAATGATGAGAAAAGTTTGGCACCGTTTCCGAAATCGTGAAAGATACTAGAATGTGAAGTATAGTTGCGCCCTTGAGGGAAAGCTAGAAATGACCTTCTAAGCTAACAGATTTAATTTCACAGCGCCTGGTCCAGTTTGGACAAATTAGACCTGCCGAATGCTGCTCAGCCGCCTAATTCCGAGGCAAAGTACTGACAGACACCCAAACAGAATCCCGATTCCTCCTGTGTATGAAACGTTTCTTAGGAGAGTGGGTCATAATCGCAATTCTAGTACGTCTTTACTTCGGCGTCTGAGGCTGGTCTTTTTTCACAATTGCCAACGATTCTACCTGACTGTCCCTAATTATATTCAACATTTTCGTCTGAAAAGTGATTTGGCCATTAACACCATATCTTATACTGAGGCGGCAGGTTTTCAGTCGCATTTACGCCTTAGTTGAGTTTCTATGATTGCCTCGAGTTCAGTTCTCGGGTGTCCGTTCATGATTAATGGTGGCATAAATGGCCATTCGGATTTCCGTGGATCCTTTATTCGCTGACTTTTCCGTTATTTTCTTTACACCAAAAGATACCTGTTTCTGGCTGGAAGAGGACACAGTCGGTGACCGATCTCATGAAATGTGGTTTGAAAATCTGAACTGTGCTTTCGATTAGGGGGTATTATTGAAAGAGAGCTGTAAGTCTGATTATCTTACGACATTATCCCATAATTTTCCAGACGCACCAGGACGTTGGCTTTTGAATGCACTTCTTTTCATCTGTCTGAAAAAACCAGACCCTGTAAAAAGTGATGACTAAATTAGTATGCTTCCTTGCTATTGTTCTTCGGTGCCTTCTAAATTCAAACATAATTTATGAAATCATTCACAAAAATATGCTTTTTGTACTTGTTTGATAGATGATCACATCTGCAAACTTTATCTTCAAAGAAAGGGTATATTTAAGACTTAAAAGTGTGCCTTGTTTAATTTCCGAGGAAATTTATGCGCGAAGTTAGAGTACATCTTTCGATACTGGCCTTTTCAGGCACGGTCCAAAGTTTAATATGAATATTTGAGCTGAAATCCATCAGCTGCTGCGGAATAACCGCTTACTATTCACAAACCGCCAACAGGCAGCCAGTAGTATAGGACTGTGCAATGATTTACCGTGTTAACAACACAGGTATTAGCTAAAAGCCCATAGAAAACACACGGGGAAAGCTGGGGGACCCACTGACGAGCCGAACCCCTCGCAGCTGCGTCAGGCAGCGGCATAAGATCGGCAAAACCCGCGTGCCTGGGCTTTTAGCTAATACCTGTGTTGTTGGTACGGTAAATCATTGCACACTGAAAAGTGTCCAATTATGAGATTTTTAACGACCGCGCATCTGTCCGTTTATTGATGCTCCTCATGAAACATACAAAATACGTCACATCCACTAAAATGTTGATGAGTCCCACGTCGTATCTTCTTAAGTGCCTAGGAGGAATGCCTGATTTTTCTTACACGAAAAGTATTCAACTTGTGGAATGAAAACTCCAGACGCTATTGCAACAGCAGGTCGGCTCAAAATTATTCAGAAATTAAAAACCTTTTTACAAACCTAAATATACTCTTCCTTTGAGTGTACAGTTGAACAAAAGTGATTTATTACCGAGTAAACATAAAGAGCTATTTTTGTGCCTGTTTTCTAGAAAGTGTATTAGAATTTACAGGGAAATAGAAAGGCAGCAGAACAATGCGCGCAATTTAAGCAGTAACTTTTAACCCGGTGCAGTTTTTTAGGTGGTCAAAAAGAAGTGCATTCAAAAGCTAACATCCCTGCATGTCTGAAATGTCATGAGATTGTCGCAAGATAATTAGTCAAACAAGCCCTCTGAACTAATCTTTCCTAATCAAAACCGCATTTAAGAAGTTTAGTTAACATTTCCTGAGATCTTTCACTGTATATCGCGCAAATATTTAACACAACTACTAGGTATACAACGGTAGATGTTTGGGAGTTTTCAAATGTCTGAACTCGTGGAATCCAGCCTGGAAATTCCGCAAAATTGTCAGAATTACATTAAGGGAAGAAATGCAAAGAACTTACGGCCATCCGCTCCTCCTCGTCACACCTACTTCCGTTCCACTGAGTCATCTTCGTGCCCTCATCGTAGATGAAGACATCTTGGTTGGTCAACGATCTGACGCTGATGGGCACTTCAAAGACTGCGACCCTTGTTTTTGCAGCGTTCAGTTGGAAGTGCAGCAGCCTTGGTCTGTAGGCTGCAGGGTTTGCTGGGTTGAAGATATGATCCGCGGCTCCGCTTTGCACACTAAAACGGCGAAAAAGTTCCGAGATTGCAGTCATCCATCGTCCCCACCTTCATCGATATTGCGTGTTGCAACTGAAATCAGTCGCTGTATATTGTGAGCTCGGAGGCGACGACCACCGGGGATGGAACCTATCTTTCGCAGTGAGCTTAAAAATGAAGGCTTCCCTAGCCGAGACGTACACTGGGCATACTAGTCATAGTATACGCAATCGATCGTATTCCTTCCATTCAAGGCGATGAAGGATACTTACAAGTTATTTGTAAGGTGCATTCTCGTTGCACGACGATATCCGGGTGGGGACGTGGTGTCTCGAGAGTACAACAGAGGGGAGGAATTTTCATATCATAAAAAATTAAAAATGGCTACCTGACCGTACGAGTTTATGCTCAAAGGTAGGTTTTAGGTCGTGGATCTCAGTACCTACCCGAAGACTTTGAAGTAGCTCTTGAATAGCGGGGATTCATGACCCTCAATTTCTCGATGCAACACCGCACGGTTCTCGAGGGATGACATCAGCTGCATGACCTTCTGTGGCGGAGAAGTGTCTGATGTCTGCAAATTGAAAAATACAAGCGGTCGTAGAGTTTACTCGGGAGGCGTGGGTGACGCCACACTATGAGTCGACCACATGGCTTCGCATGGGGACCGGCACTATCGTGTGGGCAGCTAGAACCGATATATGAATGCGAGGATGACCTGCGCAATACCTGCCTAGTTTCCTGTGGACTTCAAAGTAATTTTGGCGATGTCACGCCCAGATGAAGATCGGGTAACTAGAGTAGAGGTTAGGAAACCTTACCTGCAAACATACAGGCAGCAGTTTAGTTGTGACCGTCAAACCTGCATATGCACGACTGACAGGGCTGGCCAAGTACCACGGTATCAACATATAATATACGACCATAAACGTAGAAAAACCGGAGAGATATGGAAGCCCACTCGAGGAGGGAGGCTTACGGCCTGCGGTTGGCTGACACGGCTCCTATAATGCCGCATTAGTCTGCTATCCAAAATTAAGATTTTGGTAGACAGCATTCAGCATTCTTTTGCCTGAGCGCGCATTTGGATTGGTTTTAAGCATTTGACGTTTGAAACGTGCACTTTCTGCGGACGTCCAATTCGTCACTTGACAGTCAACATTTGGCAACATTTCCGTCATTAACATTTTACGTTTCTTTAAATTTCTAATACTTTCCTCCTGGACCCCCACTGAGGAAAATATTTAGAAAGGATCCATTGCTGGAATTTTGAAGAAGGCAAAACAAATGTTTGTCATCCTGAGTTGGTAATATGACCGGGTGTATAAACAATAATTTTGGTAGATAATTTTAAAGCCGAAATCCATGGCGTTTCTAGCACAATATTATGCTTAAATCATCAAAAAACAAGTCCAGGACGCCTATACGCCCATTTTCGACTAAACACTTTGAATTAGAACACTGGGGCTTTTGTGGACACTGGATGATCAAAGGGAAACTCGATACGCTAACAAAGAAGATCTCTTTTTGATCTTTATTTCCTTCTATACTGAAAAATTGTTTTTTAAATGAACTAAAGGACTTATCTGGTCTCGTGCATCTAACAGATTACTCAACCCCTAAATTTACCAGTGGTTCAGAAGTCAAAATTCCTGCCAGCCCCATGCATCTTCCAAAGTGTAGCAACTTGCTAGAAGCATTCGGACATTTTAATTCGGGATTCTGAACGATTGCAAAGTTGTGTGATGACTATTCTATTGTGATGTTAAATAAATCTAAAAGGACCCGTCCCCCTTGAAAGTGGATGTTTACTCGGGGGCCACTATGGATAAACTTATAACTGGGGCGATCATGTGCAACATTTAGAATATAGAGAACGGAATGGAAAAAATAGTCGTATTACGGCAAATATGAACCCATGAACAAAACACACTAAGACTACCTTCGCACGCTCCATGCCCATCCAGTAATGCACATTAAAGCAACTCTTCGCGTTCTTGTTTGCAGCTCGCAGTACTACGTACATTTCATTGTTGAAGAAGAACCCGTAATTTTCTTCCGGCAAGGGAACCAATGTTGTGG